GGCTATGCATTAAAATCAACCAATCCATCGAATTGGGCCGTAGACATTTTATTGTTTTTATCACCAATATCCGACAATTCCATTTCAATTTTTCTAACACGCTGCGTTGTACTGTATAATTCTAAATAAAAAACATATCCATCCAGAGCTTAATAATTTATCTTTCCTCGGCCACAATGTTTAGACTGAGTAAACTTTCCTGGACTAAAGCAGATCTTAAAGTTCTTCTTGTAAACCTTTTTTTTTGGGACGTATGCCAAACTTTTGTGCTCACACTTGAGAGAGTTGGCTACAATTATGGATGAAAATGGATCGGATACGAATGTATATTACTCATATTACATTTGTTTTCATATTTCTGTCCGGATTCGGATTCGAATATGGATATTGTTAACCATGCCGGATACGATACGATTGAATGTCGACATCATAAATATGCGATTTGATTATTTGGACGGATACGGTATCGGATATTGAATATTCGGACTCGGATACGGATAGATCTGAACCCCTCTAAACGAATTCGGTCTCGAATACGGTCGGAAAATATCCGTGCCGTTTTCACCCCTAGCTACAGACAGTATACCAGCACTACATTATTTATCGTCTACAAAATATATGTAACTTGTACACTGTAACCATTTCTTGTTGGACCCATTTAAGTCCGAAAATGATGATTAATATATTTTTCTTTTTTCTGACAACAAATGTACAAAGTAGTCCAAAAAAAACAACGAACAAATTTCCCAATTCACGATTATGAGACCCAGCTCATGGGCCAAATTTGCGGTTGGGCCGGACTAATGTAGCTACAGCACTGAATTGGGTTAGAGTACTGTAGCTGCGGAAAACCCTTTGCACCTATGAGTTTAGTGCCATACCGTAAATTATGGGTTCGCCGGACCGGCTTAAATAGTCAGGCCAAGGGCGTGTAGTAACCTTCGGTTAATCGTTTTGTGCAAAGCGATGACAAAAAGCGTAAGCGGGGTGCTACGTAGGTGGGTCCACCCCTCGACAGAGTGGGCCTAGGTCGTGTGCCGGGCCTGGAACGTTACAAATGGTATTTAGAGCTAACTCTCGCGATTTTCACGATGCGTATGGTCTGGATAGGCTGTGCACGGCTCCAGAGAGGACATGACACCTAGGTCAGGGAACTGGAAATACGAACGTGGAAGAGAGTCGATCATAAGCATAAGCTAGTTCAATAGCTCGACGAGAACGTCGAACCCATTGAGAGTGGGTGGATGTGAGACCCAGCTCATGAGCCGAATTTGCGGTTGGGCCGGGCTACCGTACCGGTAGCACTGAATTGGGCTACTGTGCAATGTAGCCAGCCAAGGACGCATAGTAACCTTCGGTTAACCGTTTTGCACGAAGCGAGGACAAAAAACACAAGCGGGTTGTTACGTAGGTAGGACCCACCCCTTAGCAGAGTGGGCCTGGGCCGTGTGCCGGCCTGGGGCATTACAACGATCAAAATAAATATACACCTGTGCTGCACTTAGAGAGGACCATGAACCCGTAAATATGTTTAATTTTTACGATCTATTTATGGGTTCGCGGACAACCATCCCTAGCTGCACTTGGCCCAACGTGGTACTCTATCCGCCAACGGCCGAGGTAGAGCTAGGTAAATGATCCGTATCACTAAACTCATTCAATAGTAGAAATTATAGTTGCTTGCGAAGACCACGCCGATCTGCCACCACGACGGCACGACGTCGGTCATGTAGGGCGTCTGGCCGCCGGTGGAGGTGACGGAGAAGGAGAGCGCCTGGCCGAAGAGCGCCGAGTTGCATTGCTAGTTGGCGCCCCAGTTGCGGTTCAGCGCGACCCACCCGGCCTTGGTGCCCTTCACCGACACGGACCGGATGGAGCCGCTGCCGGCCACGTTGGAGAACTGCACCAGCTGGAAGAAACTGGACCCTCCGATGGTGATCCTCTTCCCTCCCTGCCTCCAGCACGTCACCCTGCACCACCACCATCACCGGACCGGCGATGAGTTCATCGGAGAAAGGCAGGAAAGAAGCCAGGATATATATAAGAAGAAGACACGTACGCAACGCTGCACCTGCACACTGCGCTTACTGCTGGTAGAGGGCGGGGATGATGCCAGGATATATATAAGAAGAAGACACGTACGCAACGCTGCACCTCCCACGCGGGCTGCGCCATGTCGAAATGCGGCCACGGCGGGTTGCACCAGCCGCCGCTGTTGCTGGGCTGCGCCCAGTTGGGCGGGCAGAAGTTGGTGGCCGTGACGGTCACCGCGGCGCCGCGCTTGCACCAGGGGGACGCGTTGCTGTCGCACATCACCAGGTAGCACTGCCCGCACGCCGCGCCGTCGTTGAACAGCACCGAGCTCAGCGCCGCCGTGTTCGTCCCGTACCCGGCCTGGTACCCCCGCACGCGCCACCTACACGTACGATCGAGTTCTGCTGGTTAGCCTCGGGAATGAATCCACACTGCACTGCACGCGGCTTTGGAGTGGGGGTTATTTACCCATTGTGCCGGAGCCGTCGCGGCCGCCGTAGAAGTGTAGAACGTCGCCGTCCCGTAGTTCCAGCCCTTCGCCGGTGCGAAGAACGTCGCCGCCGCCAGGACGGCGAGCAATGCCAAGACTCTGTCCATCTATCTATATCAATGAACAATACAGATACAGAGGAGAGTAGCAGTGGTTTCAGTAAACCAAACCAGGAGCTGAAATGCGTAGGATGCTCTGACGGATTTGGGGTGATCGTGGCATGGCTTATATAGGATCAGGGAATGCGAATTATGCGCGGCACAGGGCACGGGAATTGCTGGGAACATGCGATCGATATCCCACTGCGCTGAGCTGCTAGTGCTAGCTAAGCTCACATGCGTACAAGGCAAACCAATGCAAATGGACACAGCATACTACTCATCAGTTGACTCCCGGTTTAGGATTTCCTACAGCATTTTTTTCTCCTGATGTGATGAGAAGAAGCATGGCATGGCATGCGAGATCGATCATATGCATCTCGTGCACCCCGGCTGCATGTTCAGTTATCCGTACTTGCCGGGGTTGAGCTGAGTTGGTGACCTACCTCTGCGTTAGTTTATGACATAGACTATATATAATTTGGAATGAGATAGATCCTAGCTAGCTAAACTATGATTTGGAATGTGCATGGCCGTTCTCGTTTATCTCTCGTATACGTGAAATTCGGAGAGTTCTGACCCACATGAGGCCATGAGGGCCAGCGGTGTCAGCACATGGATTATGGCCCCTGGAGGTGGATAAACAACTGAGGGTTTAATGAACTTGCCGCGTACGCAGATGCTCAGCTCAATCATGGCATACCTGGTCTAGAAGAGTCAGAGGTTTATCGACCGGCCGTACCGCCTTCGGATTCTTCGAGTTTCTTTAGCGTTAGCATGGAATCGTTTGCCAAGTTGCACACAGCTGTGGCATTTTAATTTGCCGACCGGCGACCGTCGTATTTTCTTTTGGGGGGAAGGTCTAGCATGCTCTCTTTTTTCACTGTAATAAGAAACCAATCTTAAGAATATCTTATACATGAACTTTGCTGGTATTTCACATGAGGCAATTCACTTCACACTTCCTATTGGTGAATGGTGATGAAGAAATTTCGCGTCCCATCCAAACAAACAAATCGTTAGCGTTCTGTTGTCCTAGACGCCAATAATCACTAGCTCCAAGAGTCAAGCCTTATGTTGCTTCCAACATTAGCTATGCCCGACGCAACGGGTATCTATGATCTATCACAGATGAGATTGCCAGATTGTGCGAGCCAGTTGCTTTGGTCAGTGGCCGCAGTTCACAACAGGGGCAGCGCAAGCAGACTTCTCGCTTTGGAACGTTTTGAGTTGCAATCACCTGGGTTGGCCCAGCGAAGCAGGGGCCGCTCTTGCACTGCCACAGATTGGGCTTGGCCCAACTTGCATGCAAGTGAAGCCCATAAGGCCCTAACTTGAACTACTAGAGATCGTTTTGTCAAAAACGTATTTTTAGATCCTAAACTTGTTAACCGGCGCGGTTGCACATCCCTGAACTTATAAAGCGGTGCAATGCAGCCTGCAGGTCCATTTCTAGACCGTACAAACCATTGTGATGCACCACTTAACAATTTTGGGGACTTAGAAATGCATTTTCAAAATTTAGTGATATGTGGCACCTCTTCACAAGTTTAGAGACCGCTAATACATTTAACTCTTTTTAATATAAGGAGTCCAACAAGATATTGGCAAAGCCAAGAATGAGGCCTCCGTATCTTTTTTTTTTTTTTAAGAATATGAGGCCTCTATATCAGATTAGGACAATTAATGATCCTGTCGCAAAATGTCCAAGCCCACTTAAGAATCAAGTAAGATGATCATGAAGTTAATTACACTGGCAAACCGTGGATAGGTGAATTGTTAGGTTCCATTTGATGCTGAGTTTAGGTCTTAGACTTCACGTGCTAACACCGAGTTTAGGTCCTAGACTTCACAAGTTCGCTTCTTTCTAGATTAATTACAAAAATCCAATAATAATAATAACTAATAACGTGTCAAGCATATGCATCTATACTTTGTTTTCCAAAAAAAAATGCTACGATATTTTCTTTACTTCCTAGGAGTTAATACTTCAAACAAATCTGAGACATTGATTTTTCAGATTTTTGAATTAATTAATTAACCTAGGAGAAAACTAAGGCAGTCTACAGACGGAGTTACTGATGGGACACCGTCTCCCGAAAGAACTGGACCGCAAGCAACAGTTGAATCAGAATCACCCTTCATGATCCATTAATGAATATGAATCTTCAGTCGATCAACTGCCTAGCAGGCTCGCACTGCACACATATCACACAATTCAAACGCTTCCTGCCTTCCTCCAAATTATTAATTTCTTTTTTTGGACAATAACAATACTAAGTGTTTCTTCAATCAAAGCCTTATTAGATCTGAAAATATGCTACTGGACTGGCCCATGTGGCAATGTATATGGAAGTATGGAACGGGTTGGTTTGCAGTCAGATGGGGAACTGGACGCCGGAGGTGAAGGACTGCCCGAACTTCCACCAGGCCGGCACGACGTCGGGGACGACGACGGTGCGGCCATCGGTGGAGGTGACGCCGAAGGTGAGCGCCTGGCCGGCGAGCCCCGCGAGCGACTGCCAGTTGGCGCCCCAGTTCCTGGCCATGGGCATCCTGTCCGTGGCGCTCCCCTTCACCCACACCGCCTTCACCGACCCGCTGCCGGCGACGTTGGTGATGAGCACCAGCACGAAGTAGTTGGAGCCGGTCACCGTGAACCGCACCCCTCCCTGCTTCACGCACGCCGTCCTACGCAGGCACAACAACACACACACCATCAGAGTATCAGACACGTACACGAGATTTTTTTTCTTTCCTGAAGTCAAACCGTCCAAGTAATAAACAAACTACACGTACCTCTGGTAGAGCACCGGCACGATGCCGCCCTTGTACTGGGCGATCTGGAGCCAGGCAGGCTGGGCCATGTCGAAGTGGCGGCGGGGCGGGTTGCACCAGCCGCCGTCGTCACCGGAGAGCTCGTGGTTGGGAGGGCACAGGTTGGTGGCCGTGACGGTCACCGACTTCCTCCCCGGCAGGCACCACTGGGACGCGCCGTCGTCACACGTGACCCGGTAGCACTCCCCGCACGCCGCGCCGTCGTTGAACAGCGCCGAGCTCAGCGCCGCCGTGTCCGTCCCGTACCCGGACCAGTACAGGTTCCCGTACCCGCACGCGCCGCCCATCGTGCCGGAGGCGTCGCCCCCGCCGTAGAACGTCGCCGTGCCCTTCGACCACCCGCTGTCATCCGCCGCCGCCGCTGGCACCAACGGCCACGCCGCGGCGGCGATGATGATGAGCAACTGGAAGCGCAGTGGTCTGTGCATCTCCATATACTTTTACAAGTGCGCTGGTACTAGCTTAGCTAGCTACAAAAACTGATGAGTGACAATGAACTGGACCTGATATGCACTTACAGCCTTAAATAGGACCTGCCAAATGCTCCACTGCGCCGGCTTGGAACTCTACTTCTCAGGCCATGGCAAAGCAGAACTTCTGACTTATATGGGTGGCCGGTGACACGTGTACTCGCCCGGCTTATAATACATCTCGTGGATCGGCGTCGGCGATCGCTTTCTTTTCTTCTTCGTAGCTTCTGCCATGGACACATGTTAACATGGCTAAGAGCCTAGAGATTCTTCATCAGATCGATCCGGTGCTTCGCCATTTCTACTATGTCCTGCTCACCATGCTGTATCAGCAGTGGCAGGACAGGACCAGGTCAATGACACTTGCGAATTGCGATTTGTATGTTCATGCAGCTCTCGACTAAGGGAAAGGGAATGGCCAGCTGGAGTTGTTTACATTTTGAGCCAATTTTCCATGATGAGCTCGTACATGTGAGCCTATGTATACATTTTTTTTTTGAGGAAAGCCTATGTATACAAGTGTTCGTCACCTAGCCCAACCCATATTTGTCGTGCCCAGCGGCTGGTAGGATTCAGCCCACTGCCCGTAAAGGTAGGGCTGCAAATAAGTCAACTGAAGGCTTGTTTTGGAGCAATTGGAACCGCAAAGTAGGTCCAGATGAACGCAAAATACTAACATAGCACTGGATTGTTGTAAAACACCTTGCCAGCGTTTGATATCTAGTTTTCTCTCTCCATCTCTCAGTAGAAGAACGTATATAGATATATAAAGTAGGATAAAACATTCTCATTCTCTAAATATTGACAATTACAATAGAGCTCTCTCTCTCTTTCACACACACACATAGTCCAGATAATGTCTAAGGCTATCTCCAACAAAGCAACCCAAACCCAAAATGCAGCGTGCACAGTGTATTTAGGTAACTAAAAACCTCTCCAACAGAAGACCCAAAGAGGCTACGCATTTTGCGCCCCTGCTGCACCGAAACGCAAAAAAGCGTCCTCGTTGAACGACGACGCAAACCTCTGGCGTGCCCGTAGCGGTGGGCCCCGTAGCGTGGAGCGGCCGGCGGCGAGGTGAGCGGCGTGGAGCGGCCGACCCCTCCTCCTCCCTGGTCGACGCGCGGTGGCCTCCCCCTCCACTTCCCTGGTCGACAGCGCGGCCCTCGACGGCGAGGTCAGCTCGACGAGGCGAGCCCGCTATGACGAGCCGCCGGTGCTTCCAGGCGAGTCCGCGGCCGGCGGGCGAGACAGGGAGCGGGTCGAGGCGAGGAGCGGGGTGGGGCGTGGGTGCGGCCGGCGTGGAGAGGAGCAGCGGGCCCGCGCCGGAGGAGCCGCCGGAGCCCGTGCTCGCCGGAGGAGCCGCGCGGAGCCTGTGCTCGCCGGAGATGCCGCCGGCGCCTGTGTGGATCTGGTCCTGCCCAGCCCTGCAGGCCGCAGGCGTGCGGGCACCGTCGCCGCTCCTAGTGCCCTGGTCGCAGGCGTGCGGCCGCCGCCGCCGCTCCGAAGCCCACGCCGCCGACGGAGAAGAGGAAGAATGGGTCGCCTGTGGTTGTTGGAGAAGGGAGAAAATGGGTCAAGCCGTTTTTTACTGTTGGCGCCCCAAACTACTAAATGGGTGTTGGGTTTGAGTGCTCGCCGTTGGAGACAGTCTAAGAGTTCGGTAAAAGCTCACATAAAAAAAACTAGGAAGTTTCTTATCCTTAATATTTTGTACGAAATATTATCACCATATAATTTATATTTTGTAGGAAAAAATATCACCATATAATTTTTTAAATGTATACTCTCTCCGTTCAAAATTATAAGATGATTTGACTTTCTTAGATATTGTTGATGGGGAACCCTACGGGCCCCCCATACACCATACTGCAGGGAGGTAGGCCTTGGTAACAAGGCCTACAACCCAATCGCCAAGAAGAACGCGGAGCAACGTGCAAAACCGAAACTCCAACGCAAACTATACAAGAAAAGGCGCCCGAAGCGTAGCTTAGGACTCTCACCTTGTATCCGAATAGGACACAAACAACGCCTCTCAGCGCCTAGACTATAAAGGGCTGGAGAGGGTACCCATTGTAAGAGGAGAATGCATACTCGATACTCAAAGCAATACAACGCAAACAGGTTAACGCCAAAACTGGACGTAAGGTTATTACTCGACCAAGTCGAGGGTCTGAACCAATATAAATCATGAGTCTCTTTGCGTAACCGCTGAATTCCACTATTCACCGAAGCCCGAACAACTGTCCCGGGTACCCCCGTGGTAGGCTATCGGTGGTAAAACATCGACAGCTGGCGCGCCAGGTAGGGGCTTTCGATGAATTTTTCTCGAGAGTTCGGCGGACCTCAACCTCAAGATGACCTTTTCGGCGGGAACAACCTTTGTCTTCGGATCCTGGATCTACAAGGCTGACGGCGACGGCAAGCTTCGTACCCGTCTCCGAGAAGAAAAAGAATTTGATGACGAAGTTCAATACAAACTCGCTGAGAAGATAACGAAACTCTCAACTTTGGATACAACTCGGAATAAGGAAGAAAGCGAATACGAAACCGACTCTGAAAAAGAGATACAACCCGATCCCAAGACAATCTTCATGGCACAAGTGCCAAGCCTAATTGGACTCGGAGACACAACAACGATTGCGAAGGGATACGACCCGTACAACTCAAAGAAGAACTTGGGAACTTACTTTTCATAGCAGCGCATCAATCTATCAATACTTTACCCAAAACAAGATGAACTCAAGAAAGAAGAATACTCCCGGAGGGAGCACAAGAAGGATGATCATGACAAAGACCCCACAAGATTGTGTGGTGCATTGGCCGTGTTCTTTCACCTCAAGCAAAGTCCAGGTATCGCACGCGTGTTGAAGAACTACCTTATCAAGAGGGAAAAAACTTGGATCCAGCCTCGGAAGCTACAGACACTCAACCAAACGAAGGATGGAATACCGTACAAGAAGAGCTCGGAAGAGGTATACTTTGTATGCATGGCGAGAAGCAATTAGAACAACCTTTGGAACCACCACGAAAACCAGATATAAAATCTTGAGATTTAATCGAAGGCAACATCTCGCCAGATGAGAAAAGCGACAAAGAACGAAAATGATGAGCAAAGACTAGCAAGGCTAAAGAAGAACAAATTGAAAGCTGAAGGAGGAACCAAAGCTAAACAAAGGAAGCAAGTCCGAATAAATACAAAGCGGAGCTAATGGAATACAACAAAAAGAAGGCGGAAAAAGAAGCCACAAAAAATACAAAAAGGGAAAGAATTGAAGAATTAACAAAGGAGTTGTACACCCTCACGAATAACAGGAAAGCAAAGGAAGACTAGAAGAAAGAAGTCGGGGGATCAGAAAAACAACCCGGCGAAGAAATTCCACAGGAGCCACAAAGGGAGCAGCCACCCAAAAATCAAATTTTCAAAGGATAGGACCAGTAGAAAGTGCTAATATCAATGGAAGGAAGGAACACTACTCAAAGCAACAAGAAAGAGACAAACTAGAATTGAGCCAACGCTACCAAGAAATATCAAGAAGATTTGACAAAGAAGATGACTACGGAGAGTCTGAGTTAAAAGAAGACAGGTCTTATTACAGAAGGGCAAGATCGCCAGATTACGGAAGAACAGAACCATACGACAGATTCCCTTATTTCACAGGAAGACTACAAACTTTAAAGCTACCGCACAAGTTTAAACCAGCAAATCATTCCAAGTATGATGGCAAAGTCGAACCAAGACCATGGCTAAGGGTTTACTCCCAATCTATTGAATTAGCTGGAGGAGACGATGACATCAAGGCTCTATTCTTCCCAATGGCCCCTCCAAGCAATGCCGCTACAATGGTTTGACAAATTGAGGCCAAGATCAATCAGGTATTGGGAAGACTTGCAAGAAGCTTTCTGCAACAACTTCGTAGGCATTATTACCCATCCAATGACTGCAGCCGAATTGAAAGGAGTAAAGCAAAGGAGAGGAGAAAGTCTAAGGGAATACTATAGGAGATTTGGAGAATTCAGGGCTCAAGTCCACGACATTACTGATAGGGAGGTGATAGAGGCCTTTGCAGAAGGAATCTGGGCAAACTGGCAATACAAGGACTATTTCAATGAGAACTCAAGAACAAATGAAGACTTCAAGAGGGTTGTTGAGAAGCTAATTTCGTCAGAAGAAAGAACTCGGCACAGATTTGCTAGGGACAACCCAGAGAATAGAAGACCCAATTACAGACAGCAAGACAAAAGACCAAGGCAGGATAATATGGTGGCAACCATAGACAACAAAAGAAGATACAATGGCAATGGCAATGATAGCAATGGTAGCAATCACAATGGCAACTACAACAATAGCAACAACCGTAACAACAGCGGTTACAACAGTAA